ATTAGTGCGAACCAAAATTCCGCACATAGCCAATTTGATTGTTTAGCTTGTGTTGAATCTGTTTACCGGTTCCTCCCAATGTTTCCATCCTGCATTTCCCTCGGTCGCTTATTCACCGCCTTTGTCTATTAACTTTGATCCACAGTAGCTTATTTTCACATGAGCCTGCATCGGCACCCACGTTTGCACCACTTGACTCGATTCTTTGTTCACTTGGCATCCCACCTCCCCTATGTCGGCACCCACTGCTAATTCATGTTCGATCATGTGACCGTACAATTGCCTCTCCACAGACATGCACACGCAAACACACGCACCCCTGTCCCCCTGTCTCAAACACGCACTTTCCCCGGCACATGTTCCCTCGTCTAATGTGACTTGAACCCTTTGACCTTGTGCGCCGACTATGATTGGACAGTCATCGTGACAGTCGGTCATGTGTCTACCCTTATTACTCGTGTCCTTACTTCGTCCCGCCAGTTTCGCTTTGTTCGGCCACTGAAGGTTTTGTCCGCTCGATTGGCCCTAGTAGCTGTTACCTGTATCAGCCTAGATCGATTGACTGTTCGGTGAACTCCCTGTGAGAACGCCACGAATTGAGGTTTGTACCTGTAATTGCGATGTAATCATTATTTAACTGTAGTACCGCATTTATTGTACGCTAGTAAACCAATTGTGCCTAGTTTGATTCCGTCCTTTGGTTTGGCGCGTCACTCAACCTTGGCCTAGAACCCGAACAGATCTAAAAGCTTGGTTTTGTGTAACGTTTTAACGTATCTTTTTTAGCTACCGTTTTCTGTTATCACTGTTTTACGCTTTTATCGCCTGTGCTCCAATACGTAGACACCTTGTAATGACACGAATATCCTACCCATGTTTGGAGGGTACCTGCGGAAAGAAAGTGGTTAAGGAAATTGAATGTAAAACTTGTAAAATTCGGGCACATTCTGGATGTTCAGGCAAAACTAAAGACCACTATGCCTTACATTGCCAAAATAGCTGGCTAGAGTGGGTCTGTGAACAGTTTAAGGATACGGCTAGGTCAGCGTTTGCGAAGCAGCGGCCAGAGGCCAGGAGCAAGCTGAACTGTGAGCACTTCGATAGCCTTTAAAAGGCGAAACCGAACGGGGGAACTTCAAAAGCGTACGCTCAGGTCGCCTGTAACCTAGAAAAGAGGGAGCCGCAGGGTAAGGGTTCTTGACGAACAGTTTTGCCTAGGACCTAGAAAGCAGCAGCGATATCCACACCGCTAACTAAGCAGCTCCCTGGGGCGAACCCCGAGGCACGTCAGGGTGCAAGCTGTTCTCAGCCACACCGAGGGTCTAAGCCTGCAGTTCGTAGAAATATCATTTCCTTAAAAGGGGAATAGAGATAGATTAGAATTTGAGCTCCAAGAGCTGGAAAAGCAAGTGAGTAGCCTCTTTGCAGTACTTATTCCCACATGGGAACTTCGAAGGAACCTAGTCATACTTAACAGTGAGGAGCCGAGTATGAGAGTCAAAAGCCCGAAGAGAAACGGACAGGTGTAGAGCCCGCGACATACTTAGGCTGGCCGGAGCTCCGCCAAACATTGCAATTTGGCGAGTGCACCGGATTGGAAGGTGGAACACACCAGCCCCAGAAGCACCAAAGGCGCCCGCCAGACCCATACTAGTAGGGTTTGATAAACCACTAGATACAGGTCTGCTGCTATCCCGAGCAGACCTAGAGGGCGATTCAAAATCGTCAACGATGAACCGCAAGTGCGGGCACCAACTAGGAGATCGCATACTGACATGACAAGACGCGAGAGTAATAGGGCTCCGCCAAAGGAACTACCAAAGGTACCACCGGTCTTGTTAAACCCGCATGTGGTAGTAATTGTGGATTTGTTGGAGGATGGGATGGATTCTCAAATCGGATCTGACAAAACCGATTCAGAACAGCCTATGCTGTCACAGAAACCCACATACCTTTCCAAGCTTCCCGATCTAGAAGAAACGGAGGTCGCAGTAACGGCTTGTACTCTCACCCAGCCCAAAAACAGGCTGTCTTCTCGGGTGTTATGCCCGTGGAGGAGATCCGAGTAAATGAAAAGCGCTATCTAGAGGAAAAGGAAGCACTGGTACTATTGCACGCCAATGCATGTAGTATAAGAAAAAAACGGGCAGAATTGGCCACAGCGGCAGAGGGCACGATAGTCGACCCAATTGTTCGGTCTGAAATTTGATTAACTCAGAATGACCACATACTCGAACCAGTCTTAAGCCGGATCACAACCCACAGACAGGATAGCAAAGGAGTCTCTTTGGGGGGTGAAGTAGCTGTCCTAGTCAGACAGGATTTACTCCACCATGAAGAAAAGAAAGCGCAGTACTCTCGGAACCATTGGTTCTACCTTCAAGGAGGGTCAGATAGCAGGGGTCTACAGGAGCCCTGAATACACTCGATGAGGATCAGACACTCCTAGGCGCCCCCGATAAAATATACAGACACTCACAAGGCGTTTGTATAGTGGGAGGTTTCAAGTTCCCAAAAATATATTGGGATGTTGAGCGGGCGCAAACAGAAACACCGGACAGCGCATTCCTAGAATGGATGCACTCAAGGGCCCTGCAACATGTCCGTGGAATTCACTAGGTACAGAGAGGGCGATAGGCCAACCCTACTGGACCTGAGAATTACGATGAGGGAGAGGGATTTGATTAGTATTACCCTCCATCCACCGCTAGGTAAAAGCGGCCACGTTGTTATCACTACCGAACTCCGTCTAACGCATCGTAAAAGTAATGTTAGGATGTCTAGGAGCTACTAGGCGATTGATGCAACAAGGCTTAAAACTCGAGTTGCGGAGCTGGAGTGGCTCCCTAACCTGGGAAACACCAAGATAGACCAGCACTGGAGCCTTTTCAAGACAAATATCTTGCTCCTGCAGGATGAATTAGCTCCTCTGAAACCAAGAGCTAACAGGGGTGACAACTCTCGAGCGTGTTACACTGTCGATCTCAAGCCAACACATCACCCCACCCCATCCCCCGTCAAGAAGGGTGCCGTAGGAAGCCTTCGACCAACAGGCGTTAACAGCTAGGGATTTTGGTATCGAAGCTAAGAAAAACGAAAAACAAAACAGCTGTGGGGACACCGTGTCTCGAGCCCAATCCTAACTATGTATAGTGACACCAGTAACGCTTCAGATAGAAAATGATTAGCCATGGGACACAATTGCAAAAACAAAATCAAAATGAACCGTACAGTTAACGGATGTGGCCAATAGACACAAGCCATCCGGCTAAGTATCTATGTACAGGCAGTAACACTGTTCACATGGATTTTATTGTTTGGTTAGTATTTTGCACATCACACAGTTCGACCACGAGAAACTCTTCCTTTGAAGAGAAGTTGATGCGCAGTGAACTGTCTAACTGAGGACAGCCAAATGCGTCGTACACTGTCGAACGACCCGTGAGGGAGGTGCCAGACAGCGATGGAGAGCCGTACCGCAAGGCACCCTAGGAGGCTCCACACCTGGTTCTCACCTTAGGTGTCGTGAGTGCGATAAAAAGAGCAGTCCATAATAAAGCTCTGGAAAATTTCTCATCGCATGTGCCAAGTGAATTTGTCCATATTCAGTATATTTGACCGAAAAATCTCCAAGGGGTTAATCTTCAGAGCAGTGTGTTGGGCTCTGAAAAAGGACAGACTCGTGAAAATAAATAGCACAAAAATGGAAAGACGCGTTCCTTTTGGATTTCACGGATTTCATGAAATTTTGAGGTTCTCAAAACGTGTTAGGACGTCAAAAACGGCGTAAAGGTAATGGAAAACACGCATGGATTGCCTGTTCACTATTCAGTGTATTAAGAAAGAAAACGAACTCTACTACTGCTGGACGTGCTAGTTTGCAGGGCAAAGCGTAAGGTTGATTCCACTGGGACTGCTGTCGCCGTAGAAGGGACATAAGTGGAGGTTGGTAACGATGCAGGAAGTTCACAGGAGGGTAAGAGTGATGAATCGCAAAGGGAATCTAGATAAACAGGTTTCAATCGATCCAGAGAAACGCTATCCCGTTTACCATTGCGATCAAGAATGACGAATTAGGATTCGCAACGGACCGCTTTGAAAGGACCATGGTAAGGCGGGTGAAGAGGTTTGCGGACACCATCAAATCGAACCCAAACATGAGTGCAGTGCGCCAGATCCTTATGAACAAACGCGTCATGACTGTGGACGCGGTTGAGTGGGTGAGACATAGTTGTCTATGTCTGTATACTTCTCTTGCGCGAAATGTAGTCTCCAGGTAGACGCAAAGTGGTTCCAGAAACTAATTCGGCTGCAGTGCACTTAAGATCCTCTTTGAGAGAATTGCGAATACCAAGAAGAACTATCAGTAGAGTTCCATCCCACGGTAGTGGAAAGCAAATGGATAGAGCCGCCTTGAGCTGACGGTGAAACCTCCCAACCAAACCGTTTGCCGCAAGGTGAAAGGTGGTAGTGCTCACATGACGGGGACCGAGACACGCGGCCAAGGTATTGAATAGTGAACATTCAAACTGA